ACACTTGTTTTGGCTCCCGGTGTCGCTTGCACTGCTTCCATCCCCTCCAATGTAAAAGTGTGAATTCGCGCGTGGCCCCTTTCCCGATGGTGATGTCGTTTCAGCATCCCACACACACACTCACCATTGATCTATACGAAGGCCTTGTTGCCGGTCCTGCAGCGTGAGCATCACTCGTTATTGTTTGTTCAACTCCCAAAAGCCGGTGTGTTTGTTTGCGTTGAACATCACCCCCCTACTCCTTTCATGGCTGTGCGACAGCCAAAAGTGCACAGTGCGGCCTGCTCCCTTCGCGCCAATCAAAGGGATACTCTTGGCACCTGCGTGTATCTCGCGAATAGCCACCGTCGCCACAAGAGCGAAGTCGTAATTCACAAAGCCACAGTGATTATTATCCTCCCAACGGTTCACGGGGCAACATTGCCCTGCGAATTGAAGCCCATTTGTGACATTCTTGCCATTCGTCACCGTTGCAATCACGCAACGGCACTCGTCGATACACGTGTTGGCAGTGCCTGCGTTAGACAGGTATCCAACCAGACCCACCGTACTTACGGGCGACGCGGAGAAGGAAGCGTCCACGTCCGCCCAATTACGGGGGATGGACGTGATCATCCGCAGCTCCTCCGTCAGAGGGACAGGAAACAGGCTGCTTTTCTCTTCATTGTGCCTCGCTTCCACAAGGTACAACGCACAATCCGAGTACAGCAGAGCGTTGGCAATCGGCTTATTCAGAGCAGCGTCCATAGAAGCCGGTCCAACACAAAACACGGGGTTGCTGTCAGTCACCCAAACGTAGAGCACATGGGCCTCACTCTCCCACCACGGGGAGCTCACTTTCCAAGCCTACAGCATGACGCTCTTTCCTCCAACGGTCGCAGTGAAAATGGCTCCTACACGCAAGCTCATGTCCCAACTACCCGATTTTGAATTGGCCCATACGCCCGCAATTGCCCCGGGTACTTCCACCCACATTGTCCCCTTGTCACGTGACTCGTGCACTCTGCAGTACCGGCTCCCATAGCAATGAGTAATCACGAGAAGTTGTCCCTGTTCCCACTCGGCAATGAGAAGGTCAATGCAGTCCGCAGGAAGAAAGCCCTTTGAAAGCACTCAGCTGCTGCCGCCGTCCCTCTAACAGATGATCATAGAGAAATCGTCTTTTTCGTCGTTATACGCAATCACGGGGACACAAGCGTGTCCTTCAAAACAACTGAGCCGTCAAAAACCATCAATCCATTCGCGCCGCGTTCGTGAGTCTCGGGAATGATCTGTGATCACAGCAATTTGGGTTCACACCAGTGGATCAGCTCGCTCCGTCTGCCGTCATTGGGCTGCGTGAATTCACCCACAACCAGTTGAACATCACGGTCTCTCAATGCCCAATTGAACCCACCATTCGTACCAAACATTTGCTAGCTTCCCGCACAAAGAAACGCCCTATTGCCGCTCTCAATTGTCGTGGGATTGGACGCGGAGCCTACACCACCCTTTATATTCGCTGTGCTCAACACGACGTGTGTATTCCGGCCATTATCAAACTCGCCAAAAAAAGACGACAAATTCCACGCAAAAAAGATGGAACCCGCCACAATATCCGCATGAGAAAGCCCACTCGGTGCCCCATCGCTATCACTAAGCGTCGTGTAACCCCCATCAAAGACAACCGTCACTCCACCGACACCCACAAGAGCGAGCGATCCAAACGAATCCCTCCTTTCACTTGCACCAGTCCCACCCTTCGGTTCCAAATGCGTTCGTCCCGGAACGAAAATAAAAGCCACCCACAGCAGCCGCGCAATCACTTAATTCTCCCCCGTCGATGCGGCCGCAGATCCACCAGTGGCGCAGCACATCATCACGACGAGGAGAAGGAGCAGCACCGCAGAAGTAAACGCATGCCGTGACATGCTGGGCCTCTGCGGCTCACTCTCTCCCTTCTTCCCTCCTCCTTCCGCTGGATCCGGTCACGCGGCGACGGTTGTGTGTGCGGGATGCCTTCACTGCAGCAACACGTGAGAGCATATAAATATGTGTGTGTGGGCGGTGTGTGTGCTGTTGGTCCTTTCAGAGCCTTCGAATTTCACGGTGGCGATTAGCGCTTGTTTTCCTTCTGTGTGTGTTCAACAAGTGGAGGAGACAGCGACAGCGGCAATACATCAGACACGTCAGTGGGGAGCAGAGCAGAGCACCCACGCAGAGAGCAGGAGACAAGACAATCCGGAAGGGACGGCACGGAGGACCATCGCCCACAGAAAAGAGCAGCAACACGGCAATTCGCGACAGGCCGTCGGTGTGTGCGCGCCAGCCCTCACGCGGTGCAACACGCCTCATCCAACAGCGAAAGACAGACAGACAGGCGGAGGGAGATGGATGCCGTCAGGAGGCAATTACGATCAAAATGGCCCGTGAGCATGCGGCCACTCCACGCAGAAAAACAGAAGGAGAGGATGACGAGGGAAAGGCAAGAAGCAGCAAAAAAAGCACACGGAAGGAACAAACGACAAGCGGGAAAGACACCGCCACGGCCCTCGCCCTGGCCGGCGACTCCACACCAGCCCTCACACACACAAACACCATCGCAGTGCCGTCAGTCCGCGGGTGAGAGGATTCGGCCCTCCACACAACAAACGCACACACCGCCAGCAGCCACCCACCATGGAAGAGAAGAGACACACCGCCACCGCCTCCAGTTCAGTCCCACGGCCAACGGGATACGGCCACAGCCCCGCAGCCAACACACAACGCACACGGAGCGAGCAATCACCACAGAGCCACACACGCCGAAGCGGATCCTCACCCAGCCATGACGCGCCGCCTCACTCCATGCGGTCACACGGAGTGCACCATTTCCTCAATACAACTTATTCGGCAATCCCTTTAAGATGCTTCTGTTAGTGATGGGACTTCGAACACAACAGAAGAAAATGGACAATGCAGTAACACCGTGACACCGCCAGCCACAATGATTCCCTCATACCGGGGCAATTCTCCAATTATGCCGCTTATGCAAACACACAACTAACATACTATATAGAAATCACCCAATGTTTTTCACCAGAAACCAAACAACCCCACTCCCTCCCTAGTTTATTCTGTCACTGTTAAATTCGATAGCGTTGGACGTTTTTCGCATTCGTGTGCGGTGCTGCCGCATGCCGCTGGTGCACCTGCACTGTATGCATGCACACACAAGCATCAAAAAAAATTTATATCCCACATTACTTTTTACCAGAAATCAAACCGTCCCTTTCCCTCCCAAATTTGTTCTCCTATTTCCGTGGTTATTCCTCACTTCGGAGAGCTGCGTCTCTTCCAAAGTCTCCGGATGATATTGACAATTGGTACTGGCGCACCTTTTCCCTCCAGAACCCCGCCATTTCACAGCCTTCATCGTCGCTCACACTATTGGGATTGACGACATCACATCTCTGCCAGCCATTCATCGGCGTGCTGTCTGCGTGCTGCACATAAATAATCTCCCACGACATGTCTCGGGATAATTCCTCCCAGCCATCAAAATAAGCCGCCAGACACTCAGTGAACCGCCTCGCAGTGCTGGCGGTGGTGTGGTGCCCACACGCCGTAGTAATCCGCAGCCCAAACAGCGTCTTCCTCAGTAACTTCACAAAGAAAAAAAAAAGTCCACCAGCGGAAAGCTTGCACCCGCCGGTTTGCACAGCAGCCGATGCTTTATATTATTATTTGTGTGGTATTCCATTGCAGCCGATCCACATACAACTCGGCGGGGTGCCATTCAGGGATCGCCTTCAGCACTGCGTACTGTCCTCCACGACGTGCTGGTGGCCTCAGCTCCTTGAGTTCCTCTACTAATGCACTGACAAACTCACCCCAAACATGAATGCGCGCAAGCCAAACCCTTCCACACATTCAGACAAAAGAGTATTCCTCTTCCCCAATACTAGCAACAGAACTAAATCCCCATCACTCATCGCGTCTCCCAAAATAGTGCGCTATTCGACGCCCGAGGCAAACAGATATCGGTGCGTTACGAAATACCTCAGCACCGACTTCTCCTCTTGCTCTGACAACACTCACAAGTTTTTGAGGCGGATCCCCAGAATACCACAGTCTCACTCCCCGATGTGTAAAGTGCTTTTCACCGTCCCGGGAATTGATCCCATCCAAGGCATCCTCAATGGCAGCAGAGTGTGCAACAAACTTATTGGCATCAAAGACGTAACGTGGAATCGGCCCCACCTTATCCATGCGTTCTTCGACCATCCTCCAGTATTCCGCTTGCCCATCCGTAGTCCCATTGCGCTCCATCCATGCACACATCGCCTTCACATCCATCTCGTCAGGGCAATTCACGATGATTCACTCGGCTTTTACTTGCGTCTCCCACTCATCACAGTTGCCCTCGTTTGGGGGTGACACCACAATCATGCCCCATCCGGTGCTAGACACAAAATAGCTCGCTGGCGGTGTCCCTTTCTCTGTCACATCGTAGGTAATATGCCCTTTCATCACACAATCCCACAAATCATACAAAACGTCCGTGGATGCTCCTCTACCCACGTATCTTGTCACCGTCTTGATGGCCTTGTCACACAATTACTTCGTACTTCCACCAAAACTGCAGACAACAAATTGGAGTTTCTCGACATCGCCGTGCAGCAGCTGGTAGAGGAGGTACGATCCGGCAGCCATCGAATTCCCGATCCCGGGCGTCCCAGTCAACACACGCCGCCCAGGCGTAAATTAGGGCTCACCGTCAGTGCTGAACCAATTCGGTTATATCGCCCTTGACGATCCGCCACACTCGCTCCACCTCACAGTTCACGTAGCAGTCACGAGTGAATTTGTTCTCCTTCCATTTCCACGAGTACGGCCCTTCCCTTGTCCAAGAAGAGCACCATCAGTCTGGGACGCGGGT